ACCTCTTTTTGTGGGCCAAAATCCCCATCAACCCTGCCCAAAAGTGCCTCAAGCATCATCCCCTGATTTTTGGCTGCACAGAATTTCCTTCCAAAATCACGAATCCAACCTCTCCAGAACAGCCCCTGTCAGCGCACAGCTCTGCATCCAATGCCTCCCCAGCCCTTTCATTTCTGTAGAATAATGAACCTACAGAAGATTCCGAGTTTTCCCTCTGGTTTAACGACCCTAGCCCTGCCTGTTGCTGGCGTGCCCCATCCCTGCAGCTAGCCAGAGAAATAATGATAATTTACGCCCAGCTCGCGCCGGCTTTTCCCGGCGTTTCTGCGAGCAATCCAGAGGCGACAGGAGCAAATTGATGGAGACAGGACTGGGAGAATCCCACCCTGTCAGAAGATGAATGAGCTGAGCTTGCATGATGTGAACCATGGCTGACAGAAGCGAGGGGGAATCAAAGAGTGAGCAACTTTTGACAACGCACGCTTCACAGCCCTGACCACTGAGGATCTACATGATTATCTCCAGACAAAATAACTGTGAGTAAAAGGCTTACATACACTTAAATTAAACACAGCAGGGTTTTAGTAATCTCTGTTTGCATTTTACTTTCTGTTAAGAAGGAAATTGCTTGGACTGGGAACATTTCATTTAATGGCGTTTTTAGTTACCTTTTGTACTTCTAATGCCATAGTCTAAATTCACCCCAAATTACCCAGGAAGGCAAAAAGAAACTTTTGTCCTTTATTTTTAATTGCTGCAGCTTCCTTACCAATTTTACTAAATTAAATGTGTTTTAAAACATCACCGTATTTGAAACCTAATTATCCCAATCTCTGAATGAAGAATAGCTAACAATACAAACCCCATTTATGTAATTTATTTTGCAAAAGGAAAATAAATGGAATGCAGTTGCAGTAATGATATACATGTTTGCAATTCCACCCTGCTTTTTTCTCTTCCCCACAACAACTTAGGGAAGCTGCATTTTTTTTTTTTTTTTTTAAACAGATGCTTTAAAAGCATCTCTGCTGTGGCATTTGTTGTATCTGTACTGCTCTCAGAATGAGGGAAACTCTGCATAATGTCATGTTCTCTCTAAGTACCATGAAGGGCTTTTGTTTTGTGTGGTGGGTTGGCTTTTTGTTGGGTTTTTTTCTCCTGTTCTAGCTGGTCATGAATGAGGATTATGGCCTGTCGCCCACAATAAGTCATGAATGAAGATCATGGCTGGTAATTGTGATGTGTGGAATAAAAAGAGTGGGAGATGCAGGGCTGAGATGCTCTGGGTGCTCAATCATTATTCAAAACACCCCAGCCAAGTGGAGTTTAATCTTCTCAGACCACCTAGTCCTGAGATCTGAAATTTGGGTTTTGTTGGGCAAGCCACCATTTACTCACTGCATTTATCAATTACTTGCTGACTTTCCAGCACTTCCAGCTGCATTAAACTCTGTCCCAGGGAAGAAAATTGCTCTCAACTGATGATCCCACTGGTTACAAGCAGGAACACAACCAATCCTCACCCAAACAAACAAATAAAACATGGAAAAAACATTATTAGAAGAGTTTTCACTACTAGAGCAAGCAAAGAAATCTACTGGCATTTTACACAGCAAAGTTCCTCATCAGCCAACAGAATTTTCCTTAAATTCTCTATCAGGCTTACAAAAAGAATCTCCGAATTTATATTAAAAAAAAAAATAGAGGGCTATTTATTTTTTTTAAATCATTTTAAAACCAGCATAAATACCAAGAATTCAGTTCACATTTCACCTGCTTTGCTTAGGAAGATGCCTTCAAGCTCAGTAGCCAGCTCGCTGTGAGTAAACACTGGGATCTATGTGGCCAAACAATCCAACATACTTGCTGAAGATTACTTTTACAAACAAGCCTGGGAAATTTGCTTTGCTGTTTTCTGTTGGGTCGTGTTATTTGCTCTCAGCGAGTGTTCAGATGGGCCCTGACTGGTTTATTCAGACAAATATTTGCAAGACCTTTTAAGTTTGGCCTAAATGTTTATTTGTCCAAAAAATTCATCAGAGGAAAGGTTTCATTATTCTTCCTTCACTTGCCAGCATTGTTATTCCTCATTTTTTAAGCAGTCACATGCCCAGGAAGAGAATGGAGACAATGCCCATGTGATTTTGGTGACAAATTGTGTATTATAAACAATGGCTGGTAAAAATGATCAGTGCTTGAATAAGGCCAGCACTTGTTTGCACAAAGCATCCAGTAAATATTTAGAAATAACAAATACTTTCCTAGAAATCAGAATTGCTGTGTGAGCAGATCGCCAGCAAGAAGGAACACAAAACTTGGGTAATATTTTGTTTGCCATGGAAAAAAAAAATTGTACCACTTGTGCCTGGATATTTCAAGCAGAAAAATTAAACTCAAGCATTTCTTTATATCCCTTCCAACACAACTGGTTATTAACTCTTCTAGTTAAGGACACTCCTTGGAATTTTTTAAAAGATATTTCTTAAATCAGATAAAACACACAGCCGTTGAGACTTGCCCAAAATTTAATTTTTGTTGTATTTTTGGTTTTTTTTCGTATCTTTTCCAAATGTGTTTCCTTCCTTGTGCAAATGTTCTACTCTGTTGACCCTGGCTCCTGCTACTTGCTCACATTCCTACACCAAATTTTATCCTAGAAAACCTTTAAGCATCAATTTTTAAATTTCACTTTATCATTTCTAGGGGAAAGAAATAGCATTAAAATATTTAACACGTGTGGCCAGTGGATATAAAGAAAATAAACACATAAATTGAAGTCTTCCATCGTTCTTGGGGTCCCTTTATATTCTCAAAAAGGGCAGAAATATCAACATCTACTTCAAGGAACACAATAATGGTGACCAAAGTGCAACTTTAAAATGAGTTTGCCTGTTAGCTGGGAAGCTTTTATTTATGCAGTGCTGAGAAGAGCTGAAAATATCCTTTCAGGAAAGCACATTATTAGGAGCTGTGGCTCACCAGCACACAGGTATCACCCAATTTCATTACTACCTGGTTAATTAACCTGCTTAAAGTGTGAAAGTTGGCACCTTGTCACTAGAAGTCATGGGAATAACTAATGAGAAGCCATGAAATAATTTATTTCTCAATTAAAAACCCCGAAAGAAGAGGTTTTGCCTCATTATTCCTCTTTCCTGTTATCACCTATGCAAAGCCAAGAAGATTTTGTAAAACTTAAATGTCTTAAAAAAAAAAAATGAAATACTCTGTGTAACATCTTAGGAAACACTTCACAGATCTTTAATAAAATGTGGTGTTATCCAACACCAAAAAGCAAGCCAAGGACTTTTCAGGGAAAACACATTCACTAGACAGCAGGAATGTGAATATGAATTCTTTAATTTAATAGGATTTATTTGCTATTCTTTTTATAAGCATATCTAGAGGTCAAAGAGACAAAAAACTTGAGTTATCAATTAAAAATAAATTTCAGAATAAATAGGGATCTTGTTTTCTATTAACAAACTGCCTGCAAATAAGTAATATTTTGAATGAGTGCAGTCATTTAGGATTAAAACTTTATGGGAAAATGAACCTCAGTTTCAGAAAAAGGTTGTTATGAGAATGGGTTATTAATATTTCCCACTTTGGGGAACTTTCTCCTTAGTTTACAGAAAAAGGAGCAGGTTCAGGAAATATTTAAACACCTAAATATCACTTGAGCTGTTTGAGTCTGAAGTTTGGGTTCTCAGAGTGACTTCTCAAAAAACCAAGTACTAAACATACATATATATATATACACACACACACACACACACATGTATATAAACCTTTTTTCATATTATGTAATGTTTATAATATAATATCTATAATATAATAATATATTATAATATAGAATACAATAGATAACAATATATACAATGTATTATATAATATATGGGAATAATATATAGTAATAACGTATAGTATATAATATATAATATATAATATATAATATATAATATATAATATATAATATATAATAAATATACAATGTAATATTTATATGTAATATTCATATTCATATATGTTATACATTTTATATATTTATATAATAATATATGTATATGATTTTATATATTATTTAATATTTATAATATAATACCTATAATATAATAATATATACAATATACTATATAATATATGAGAATAATATATGAGAATAATGTATATTATATATAATATAATATTACATAATATATAATATATAAGACAATAATATATAATACATAATTAATATAAAATGCAATATTTATATATAATTTTTATGTTAATATATATTATATATTTATATATTTTATATATATACACATATATACATATATATACATACATGTATATATACATATATATACATATACATATATATACATATATATACACATATATACACATACATACATGCATACATATATATATATATATATATATATATATATATATATATATATGTAGAAATAAATATATATATTTATAAGAAATGAGATGCTTGGGGCATTATGGATTCTAAGCAACAAGTGACACACCTGGGGGATTGGGATCTGAATTTCTCTGGATATCCAAGGCACTGACAGCAGGATGGGTGAGGGGGCTCCCCTGAACAGCAGATGGGCTTTAATGATATAAATTGGGAGAGCAGCTCTTAAGATTAAACTTGTGACTTCAGGAGGAAATGAGAGGAAAAAGTACAAAATCTGAGCTGTTTTTTATTAAGAGATCTGGAAGGAGTAAGTGTCCTGAAGAGGAGGAGAAGATGGTGATTATGGGCATCAGAGGGGAAAATTTAAAGCCTTAATTTGAAAGTATTTGATATAGATTTAGGAAAAAAAGTTGTCCCAGCCTGAGATACATTGAGAAATAAGAGAAAATGGTCTTGGGAATTGTCTGGTTTTGTGGGAAAGAAAAAAATGAAAGAAAATGTGATGCTTCCATAATGGATTTACATATTTTGTGGGAATAAATAAGCTTAATTTTTTGAGAAGAAATTTAGGAATGGGCTGAGACAAGATCCCTCCTTTCCTGCTTTGCTCCCTCCATCCCTGGAGAGTCAGATGCTGGCATGAGGAGCTCCCTCCCAGCCCTGACACCCCACTGGAAACATCCCTGCCACCTCAGAGTGAAAACTGAAAGAGCAAAGAGCAGGGGCAAAACTGTTCCTGATATTTGTTCTTTAAAAAAAAAAAAAAAAAAAAAAAAAAAAAGCTCTCCTTTGATTGGAAAGCAAGGAAAAAAAAAAAAAAGGAGAAGAGGAAATGAGGTAACTGAAAATTTGCTGACCTCTTCAGATCTTTGTCACTGCCTTGGTTGTAGTGTCACCAGTGGTGGCAGGTGACACATGACTTCCCCAGAAAAATAAAAACTAAAATTCCTGTTTGTCTTTGTTTCGATTGCTGTCACGATTTATGGCAGGGGTGGCACAGATCCCCCCTGTCCCACAGGGCTTTGGTTAGAATTTAAAGTCCAGTTTGACACTGGGCTGCTTAAACATCTTCATGTAGTCTGAGTTTGGGTAGGGAATAAAGGAGATGTTGCATAAAAACTCTGTCAGAACTAGTTAAAAATGCTTTGTCTGGGCTTTTTGTTCCTCTTCCTAACAGAACTACTCTATGGCAATTGGTTTGTTTTTCCTTGAAAGCCTCTTATTTCACTGAAAACCAACACATATGAAAAGTAAAATATTTCCCCTTTTCTTAACATTCCTGATGGGGACAAAACTTCCCCAAAGAGCAGAGACGTGCCCAAGGAGTACAGGCAGCACCTTCCCTGACCTGCCTGCACACAGAGACTCCCAGCCACCTAAAATGAAATATTTTCACTGCTTTTCTCAGGGAAAAAAGGACCTGTCTTCTTTCCAGAAAGCAGAAACCGACTGCAAGGTTTTGGCTTTGCAAGGCAATGAAAGAAATACAGATCTTGTGTTGGAAGGGAACTTAAAAATCATCCAGCTCCAACTGCACTTCTATGGGAGAAGGATTTCTTTACTCATTCCTGCTGCATTAATGATCCAAATAGAGAATGAGACAAAAAAAGGTAGAGAAAAAACCAATATATGCCAGCACTTCACCTCTGCTTGTCCACACTAATGCACACACACATACATCCATAATGGATGAACTTTGAAGTTTTTGCTCCTGAAAACCAGCTTTAGATGATCTTATTTATTTATTAGTGCCACTGTTCAATTTATATTTTGGCTTGCTATTTATTATGCAAAATAGCATGCTCATATTTTATTCAGCAGAGCATTTGATTAGTGTAAAGCTTTATTTGCTGGCCTCCATAACAGCATTTTGTCTGGTCTGCAGGCAATGTAAGATATCCCAGATCATTCATAATTCTGACTGACTCCAAAAGAGAAAACTCTTAAAAGGCTGAAACTGGTTCAGCGCATAAATGGCAGCAGGGCCTTTGCTTGTACCAAGTTACAAGATCATTTTGTCTTTGGTGGAACCACTTTTATTTACTTTTTACAGTAAATAATTTATTTTTTATTTACTTTTTACAGTAAATAAAATTATTTACTTTTAACAGCAAATAATATTTTTTTTCCACAGGAGATTGTCAATTGCTGAAGGTATCTCAGGATCCTGTGAAAAAAGTACTCTTTTCTTTAGTGTACAGTCTCTGAAGTCTCCTGGACAGCAGCCCCATATCCAGAGTCTGTTTCTGGTTTTTAGGGTTATCTGTGATCTTTTTATAAGACCTTTTTAATCTAAATCTATGGCATTTTATTAGTTTTCAGGTATTTCATAGATGTTCTTTTTTATTAAGATGAATATAAAATATTTTAAGATTTGTCTACATTAAAGATAGACAGAAAATACATTCAATAAATATTTTTGGTATGCTTGAACCCAAGTAACCAAGGAAGAACCAGATGACTTCAAAAGCTGCCTTTAGTTATCTGTACAAAGATAATTCACACAATTTTCATTTTAAATATATTTCAAAAAATAAATTCTACACTACAGGGTACAGAAGAGTTGATAACCAATAAAATGGGAAATCAACCTAGGAAGGCCAGTCCAGGAAGCCACAAGTGTATAAACTCAATGTATTTACTTTAAATAACAAATTATTAGTCTGATTCACAAGGACATTCTTGACTCCAGTACATGTAGGGAGGAAAAATAGTTTGAATAGTTCAAGGAGGAAAGTCCAGGATGATTTCCCCTGATAAAGGACCCTGAATGAGGAAAAATTCTCTTCCACACTTAAACCAAGATCCTCTTTAGGGCAATAATGTGTGTAGCCCCCAGTGGGGTGGGAGAGCTCCCAGAAAGAGGGGAAATTTGCTTTTTTCCTCAAAACAGATTTTTTCTGGCAAGAAACACGGCATAGAAGGACCCCACAGGCAACCTGAGAGAAATACACCTCAATGTAAAAATATTTTTAAAGGAAAGGGGAAAAAAGATGAAAAAAAAAAAGGCAACTCACCAACCAACCACCAAATATGAATAAAAAAAATCATATTCTCAGGGCAAGGGAAAGCTGTCTCAGCAGCATCACTTTTAAAATGGATAAAAGCCCTTCTCAGAGCTGAAGATAAATCAGTGGCACCAGCTTTAACAAAGAGAGAAACCTTACTTAGGGCTAAGAGACAGCAGGAGTGGTAGGAGTACCAGCTGGAACAGAGATGCACATCAAAGAAATTAAAGCCCTTTGGCTGAAGAAATTACATGGATACCATAAACTAATAACTTTAAATATTAAAAAACCCTTTTCAGGCTACAGCAAAGACACACGTTCCAAGCAGCCAGCCCAAGGTTAGCAAGCACTGAGTGAGCACAGCCCCTCAGAACCACAGACCTTCACCTTGATGCCTCCCAGGTAACAAAGTGAATTCTTTAATCCCTACTGGTTAAAGACACAGCTTGCTATGTCAGTTTATTTTTTTTTTTTCCTCCCCACTCTCCCCATGCTTTCTACTCTCTGTTAAAATACATTTGTTAATCATAGAGCAAAGTTGCACAAAATGTTCTGTCTCAGAACAAGGAGTTACACACCGCCTGTGCTGAAGCAACAGCTTGCTTTTCAGCATGATTCTGCCTTTTCCCTTGCCCTAGACGTTTAGGCTTTACAGAGTTAAATTTAAGGTCTAATTTTCTTTACCAGCAGAATGTATCTCATTTGCTATCAGTGCATGCAGTAGACTTTTTGTCAACATGGTAATTCAAGGAGGAAGTCAGGCTCTCTTTGTTACCAGATTTACAATGGTTTCTTGAAAAGACAGCTTGTGTATACCTCCTGCCTCACTAGAATACTTGCTTGCTTGGTTCCTAACAATGGCTCATTAAATTCAGTCAAACTAGTATGAAACTTACCTTCAAGCAGTTTCACTTGCTGAACCCCGTTCTCAAAGGATTTTCTAATCTGCAATTTCTATTTTAGACTTTGAGCAGGAAATTGGAGAGAAAAGAGCACGGAGCACTTTCTGCAGAAATACCCAAACAAAACAATACTTGATGGTACAGTTTTAGAGGCAGAATAGATTTGTGTCACTCCTGTTTTGAAGGCAGTCACACTCACAACATTAATTCCTAAAGCAGGAGCATTCCCTGATCACTTTGGCTGTAATTAATTTCATATTGGAAGGGAAACTAGGGCTTTTAGCAAACTTTGGTTTTTTTTCCCATCTGAAATCTGTTACTTGGCCAGTCTGCACAAGAAGGTCCAAACCATACAGAGCTCATTACTGGCTAAAATTTTCATTTACACTTCTCACCACAACCCCCCAAAAATCTGAGATTTAGCTGGACAAGCAGCAGCACAAGGACAGAATTTTCCCCTTCTTGCTACAAGTGAGAATAATTCAGATTGGTGAAGCTTTAAAGGAATCTCTTGATACTCCATTTTCTCACTCCTTTCGTTATGGAGTATCTTTTTTCTTCAGCATTGAGGTTGTGGCCAAACCTCATGGATTTCATATGAACAGTCAAAGAAAGGAAAGGTCACAAATAAAATCCCCCCAAAAAGGTGAGAGAATCATAGAATATGCTGAGTTGGAGGGGATCCCCATGGATCATTGAGACCAACTCTTGGCCCTGCACAGGACACCTCAATAATTCCACCCTGTGCCTGACAGAATTGATGTAACTCCTCTTGAATTCTGACAGATTTGGTGAAAATGTCGGGGTTTGTGTCTTAAAGATTTAAACAAGGGAAATGAAATTAGTGTGAACATAATGTGTTGGATTTTGGGCAGGGATGTTCTGTTATGAGTCCATAACCTTTTATTGCCTGGGACAGGGATGAAGAATCTGTAGGAGATCAGATTCCAAATAATGTTGTCTTTCCCATTCCCTTTTATTTACTCCAAACCAGCCCTGGATTTCACATGCAAATCTGAGCATGGAAATATCCCTGCACAGCTAAACTCTTCCACATAACCTCACTTTTTCTAAGGTATTTTAAATCAAAATATATTGCATTCTATTCGTTTTCAGGTATTTGATAGACATTCTTTTTTTTAGTACGATAAATATAAAACATTTTAAGATTTGTCTAAATTAAAGGTAGACAAAAAAAAATACATTAAATTAATGTTTTTTTGTGGGCTCCAACCCAAGTGGCCAAGGAAATAGAAGAGGTTTGGCCACAACCTCAATGCTGAAGAAGGTACTCCATAACAAAAGGAGTGAGAAAATGGTATATCAAGAAATTCCTGTAAAGCTTTACCAATACAAATTATTCCCACTTGGAGCAGGAGTGGGGAAAATTAAAAAAAAATTAAAAAAATCAAAATCTCCTTGAGCTGCTGCTCGTCCAGCTAAACCTCAGCCTGGTGGCCTGTCCTTGTCCTGCCACCAAGAAGGGTCTGCCTTGGGTTCCCAGTGCTGGGAGCAGCGCATGGCTGCTCTAACACGGGGTTTGTATCCCACGGGCAGCTCAGACCACACGTGCAGCACTGCAAAAGTGCCATCTGGAAGTAATTCCCTGTTATTACTTCTTATCAGGACTGCTGAGGGGGTTTTTTATTTATCAAGTATAAATGAATCACAGGGCAAACTGATGTCTGCTCATTAAACTATGAAAACTTATTAGGCTATCCTTTTACTGCTCAAAATAGAAGTCTAATAGAGGTAGGCTCGATCATGCTAACCTACAGCATGAATGTGACATGCAAAGGAAGAAATGGAGTGAAATCTGTCTCAGTTATGCCAGGAAATTACATATTCTTCTTAAAGTAAAATAAACACTTGACAAAGCTGTTAATCATCCCTAGTGGAAAGGATTTACAGATTCAATATTAAGATGATGAGCTTCCCACTGGTCTTAGGAGCACTATAGTCAAATGAATCAATTTTCCTCTGAAATCATTTAGATAAAAATTACATTCACACTGAAGAATATGAATGGTTTGAATGCTAAGATGTCACTTTAAAAATGTGTCGTCCCTCCAGTGAGCTCCTATTAGTCCTCAGTTAATATTTAGTATATTCTGAATGACAAATTCAAAGCTGGTATCTTATATATAAATTGTATATCTGTAAAGTACCATATAAGCTCACACACTTTTTTCCCCTCACAGAAACAGTGTTGCATAAACATACAAAGTCTGCAGAGCCTGAATTAAAAAAATATACATTCAAGATTGATTTTTAAATATCACTCGTACCCAGACATTTCACATCAAACCACACTGAAGATCCGCTTCAGAAAAATAAATTTGCACATTAAATAGCAGAAGAATAAAGGATACATATTTATCTTGATTAAGATGATTTCATAAAAGCACTCAACAATTAAGGGGTTTGGAGTTTTTTTCAGTAATGTGAAACAATGCTTTGTTGAGAACATATTTGAAAATTTACCTGCAGTTAAAGAGTATCTGGGGACTCCACTCATAAAAAAGAAAAGCAAACAATTTTTAGAAGTTACCCATTCAAAGAGAGAGGGAGAGAGAGGGGAAAAGAAAGAACGAGGCAGGGAGATTATAGAATTTAATGATTAAGAATGTGTGCAGTGCAGTATAAGTACATTTGTTTCCTTGGAAACAAACTAGTACTGTTGCACTGAAGAAATTTGTAAGCATTAAAAAATTCTGTAATCAGGCCCCAGGAGAACATATTAAATTTTTTAAAAGGGATAAATATTTGACATTCCTGGCCGTTTCCTGACTGTACTTGTTGATGAGGCCTGCTGTCAATGGGTGGTGTTCCTGATCTTGGGGAAATGGATCCGATCCGTGAACCTGCACACCCAAATCCACTCTTTTAACTGCTAAATCCATCCACCAGGATCAACAGTTCTGGAATCCACAGGCAGATCTGGATCTTTTAAATAAGGGGTAGATGGTAAATGCAGTTAAATGCAAATAAAGGTAGACTACCAAACCTGCAATAAATGTTCAAGGGGGAATTATTAAGAAGAGGGTCTAAAACACAGCCTAAGTCATCCTTGCTTGCAGAAGGCAGCAGGATGGCTCCCAGGGAAAAGAGAGGACAATAATGATCCCATTTATGCCAGATAACAAGTTGTACCTATTGGACTTTTGGACTTTGATTGATTCAAATAAAACAACAGGCTCAAAACTCTTGAACCTTCCCTTGTTTGACAACCAAACTCAACACAGTTTGCACAGGAAGGCTGATTTTACTTCAGTTTTGCTAACAAGAAACAGAACCAGAGGAGCAAAGAAATCAAAAGAAATTCAATTTACAAGGTGGAGAAAAGAATACCCAGAACACCACAAGAAACAGCACCTAAAGAGGTTCCAAAAGGGCTTGGAGCAGCCTGGGACAGTGGAAGCTGTCCCTGCCCATGGCAGGGTTGGGATTGGATGGACTTTGAGGTCCCTTCCATCCCAAACCATTCCACCATTCCATGTTTTTATGGGCTATTACTTTGATGCAACGTCCATTTGCAAATGGAAATGACATTAAGTCAGAATAAAAAACCTGTTCTGGTTTAAATATGACTTTAAATATCTATTTTTCTGCTCACTTGCTGTATGGTGACCTCACCCAGGCTGTAGCTCTGTGGCAGTAATGTCACACACCCTTGAATTCCATAGAGATTTATCTGTCACAGGTTTCAAAACAAATATTCTGTCTCATAATGCACACAGGGAAAGGTGAGACTGTTTGGTCATTATAAAGTAAACTTACTTCATATCAACAAAAAAAAAAAGAAAGGAATACATGCAAATTAGGACTAAAATTATTAATGCAATGAGCTCATTTCAGTTTATCCCTGTTACACATGAGATGTAAGATGGTGTGGATGAAGTTTTAGCATTATGAGAAAATAATAATTGCCAAAATGATCCCTAAGTTTTCCTGAATGAAAAATCGAGATGTGGGAAGTCACAGGGGAAAAAAAGAGGTAAAAAATAATTCTAGGGACAGGTCTTGCAAGTAAGCATAACCCTTGAAATTAGTTTCCAGGAGCAATCTTAAATGTGGAAGTGGAAGCTCACACTTGTATAAAGAATTAGAGGAATATAAAAAGAAAGGTCCCTTTATCCTTCACTTCATCAAAAAAAATCTGAGCTACTTCTTTAACCTCATCACTTAAAGTCAAGGGATTAAGACTCCATCTTTTACAAAATTAGAAAAGAGATTCTTTCTGTCTGCCTGGATACTGCACCCAGGGCAGCGAATTTGGTGACGTTTGAAATTGGTCTGAAGAAAAAGATGCAGAGCTCCAAAGAAAGAAATGTGTTCCATTGAAGGAAATGCAGAATTCCAAATGGGAAGAGCTGGATGCTGTGGGGAGGCATTGCCAGCGCTGGAATTTGCAAACTTCCACACTGCAGGCTATGGGAGATACAGGATCCTCTTTGATTCTAGTGATATTTTCATTATTTCACTATATTGCATTGATTTCTTTTGACTCACTGGTTCTCTGCTGCTCTTCAATATTTCAGAGTGTTTCTAAAGAGCCCAAGCAGAAACCAAAGTGCTCTGATACTTTAATATTTTATTTTATAACTATATAATATTCAATTCTAAAATACTTCTACCAATACAATTTAAAGTTGTTAAACCTGTCTCTTATCAAAATCAGATGAGGAATATTTGTGTCTCATTTATCAAAAAATATCAAGATGAAAGGAAAAATTAATTTGAGGACTACTTTCCTTCCCAAATACATCCTTGAAGTCAATAAATGCTAAGGAAGACCAAGACAAGCTTCACCTACTTTTGTCTGGGTTTTTCCTGGTTCAGTTGGTCAGGGAATCACAGGATAATTTATCTTGGGTGGCACATCTAAACTCAACATACACTCACAAAAAAACCAATCTCAGAGCCCAGGGCCCCCTTAGAACACCTCCAAGGAAAATCTTCCCTAAGATTCCCACTGGATGCCTCTTCCAGCACTTGACCAGCCTCAAAAAGAGAAATTTCAAGCCTGATAAAAAATAATGGTCTTTTTTTTCATTTGTTTGTTTGCTTTTAGGTCCTCGGGCTGATACTTTGATGGGATGGAGGCTCAAGTTCAAATGGACATTCTGGCCTTTCTGTAGCTAATAATGGAAAACAAAGCCCTTTTCTCAGCTATCTCAGCTCTCAACTCGACCCTGCCCTCAGTGTAGACACTAATCAGCTCAGAGAATCTCTGTTCTTTTATTTATATAAAATTTCAGGGGGAAAAAAAAATCTCATCCAGGAACAAATTGTGTTTCCCAAATTACACTCCTGGCCTTCAGACTTGGCATGGGACTAACTCTTCCATTTTTGGGGGATCTTAATCAGTTCTTCCTCTACTTCTGTCTGCTGAAACAAGACTTCTAAGAAAGGTAAATTCCCATTTCTCTTGAAAAAGAGACAATAAACTCCTCCCATCTTCTCCAGGAGAGGTTCATAATTTCCCATCACAAAACATAACATAGTGTGTTTCATGCAGAAATTAGGGACTTACATATACCTTTCCCATACCCAAAATTCCCCTTGATATCAATATTTATTGTTATTAGATAAAGTCACATCACCAATTTTGACTTTTGATGGTATTTTTCTTTTACCAGTTTTATGCAGATTGGCGTTTTTCCTTTCAGACTTTCTTCCTACCCATCCTACACGCCAATTTTCCCAAAATTCCTTTTTCTCAGGGTAAATTTGAGATGGGAACCTCTGACTCCTGTGCGCTGTGATTATCTATGGGAAAAGTAAAACTGAGCCAGCTCTAGGGAAAGCTTTTCCTTTGGATCTCTGCAGGGACCCAAGGGTATTGCTCCTTTGATATTATTTTTTTTAGGAATCCTCAAGCCTGTCTGTGTGCAGCGCAAAGTTTATTGTGATACGACCATGTGGTAATAATATATCAAAGTCCAGCATTAAAATATTTCTAAAACATGAAAAATGGGCTGTTCATAATGTTAAAGAAGGACAAGCAAATTTGCTGACAATGTGGGTAATTTCCTGAAATCAGAGTTCATCTTGTAGCAAACCCATGTTCTGTGGACAACAGAAACAAGCAGAGCATAAATCACTCAGTCTCACACACAATCTCCTCTGTCCTGCTAATCTCTTGGGTTTGGGATCACAGCAAAGCACACTGAGCCTCTTTCCATACCCATGGAAAACAATGGAAAGGCTCCCCTTGACCTGGACATCCAGGGATTACTATTTCATCTGGCTGTAACACCACCAAGGTCTTAAAACAAGACCTGCAGAGAGTTTTTTACCCAAAAAAACCCATAATGAAACTAGGCATGAAAGTGTACTTGTAATCTATACAATGAATACACAAATGTAAGAAAGTCCCAAAGCATAAAAAATGGATTTATCCATTTTTCACACCTGGAAAATGGATTGTGGAAAGTTCCTCCGAATTTTATCAATAGTCTTAAATGTATGATCAAATATTCTGATTTTGTAGACATCTGTATATAGAGTATATTGTATATTATATATGTATATATTTATATTAGTTTAACTGTTGGAGCATAAACACTCCCAACTTTGAGAACACACATATTAAAACAATGACCACATCTTCATTCTAATGTATTAATATTTTATAAATCATTGTGAGGGTACTGTATTTTGAAGGGCATTAAAACTCATTGCGTTCCTTGGGTTTTTGCAATTTCACGTTTCTAAAGTAGCAACTTTTTCTTACTCTTTATAAGAATTTAAAACAGCATGGTTTAAATGTGGTACCATTTTCTGATTTGGGACACATCCTACTCTGAAATATTTTACAATTTAAACACTTCTTTTCAGCAAGACAAGAAAATTTTGGGGGGCTAGGGCCACATCCACCTCTCCCAACCTGATTCTGCATTACCAAAAGAGAAAGATCCCTTTAGCACAGGCAAAGTAAGGCTGGGTAGCAAATAAATGAGGTACAGACATGAAATAATGGAAAGCACAGTAATCAGAAGACATGTTTTATTATTACAGGTGGAGATAATGTTGGGAAAAAAAGTGTGGGAGAATGCCTTGGGCTTGTTTTAAGACCAACATAAAAATGCAATACCTATATGTTTGCTTTAGCATCTTTTTTTGAAAGTAAGGTTTATTTTTGCCCCGTATTTATGTACTCTTCAGATGTAAAAACAGGCTTATTGACATATTTAAACGTGCCAAATACTTGGGATTTAACATGACCGTGTCTGAATGCGAGGTCATTGTTTTGCTTACAGCAAAAAAATTTCCTACAGTCACATAAAAACTTCCCCTTCCATAACCTTTCAGTGGGGTCAATAAAAAACTCTTCTGCTGACCTACAGCAGGTTTCTAGATTTTTATTATCGTTTAGAAAATAGGTAAAAAAATTCAGGTAAAAACTTTGGTCCACTCTAAGGTCTTTTTTCATATGACCATGATTATTGTCCTGACACATCAAAGAGTCTTGCAGGTATTTTTTTAGGTTCTACATCTCAAACTGCAGGAGAAAATTGTATTTATAATCCTCTACCATTAACCTACATTTCAGAAAGAAATAAGCCTGAAAAGATGTGTAAATGCTCCATAAAATTTGTTTTGAGGATTTAATGATCATTTACCTGCTGTTAGCCAATATTAAAAAAGATCTAAAGTACATGCAGCAGAAATAAGAGTAATTATACAAATTAGGTAGCTTTTCTCTTGAATTTTTAAATTCAAACTTGGAATAAGAGTAATGCCCCACAAATAGCCCCATTTTAATCAACAATAATCGTGTTAATGTCCATGGTAGGAACAGGAGGATTAAATGCTGGCTAAATTTTCAACTGTGCTCCACAAGGAGTTGTCCATTTTATGACAGCAAAGTTAGAGAGCCCATTATAGCCATAAGAAAAATATTTTTAAAAAGTTGAGAAAGAAAGCAAAATGAAATGTGAATATTAACTACACGCCCCAATTTCTCCACCCACCCTCCAGTCATTTATAGGCAGTTCATAGAAGGTCTACTGGATTTGCTATCACACAGTGACAGAACAAAATATTTCAGTACTTTGCAAACTTGAAATTCTGTAAGTGAAAACTGTAAGGTCTTTGAAATGTTGGTATCCAATACAACTTCTACAAAATTATCCTTCCAATTAGCATATGCTCTTAAAATAGTCTCTGAAACCATCTTCCAGCACATTTCTTTTTAAATATTATTATTTTTAATAATCACAGAGTCATACGATACTTCTTTTTTAATAACAGTTTAAAAGTGAATGCAAGGAGTATAAATGCTGTTAGAACATTTTTTTTTTAATTTGATCATTCAAATGAATACCTGTGCTACCTTTTTGTTTGTTTTGGCAAAGTTGCCTGAAAATACTGGAGTCAGATCTGGTTCAGGTAATCGTAAGTGCTTTTGTTCATTTCAAGTAAGAATTATGCCATATGCCATGCTTGAAATTAGAAATTAATCATCACCCACCACGCAGACAGTTTTGATAAAATTCCCTTTTCCAACTAAAACAGTCATACAACGCTTGTAGCTTCATTGAAACTCCTTGTTCCCTCAGTACAAGAAAGAAAAAAGAGCAGAATAAAAGCTGATTCCATTAAAGAAGGGCTGCAACAAAACTTTCCCATACTTTTACCAAGATAGCACTGGACAAATGTAGGGAAAAAATGACTTATGAACCTTGCACACAGATATCCCTGCCTTGAGTTGCACCACAGTTTTACTCACAATTCTTTACCTACACTTAATTTTTAACAGCATCTTTATGCACAAGGAATGGGTTGAGATTTAATTAATTAATCACCCACTGGGACTTTCCCCTAGATAGGTTATTCTACACAAGCTCATCCAACCAGGCCATAAACAAAAACTGTATTTTTGTGCTCTAAATCATCACCTAACTTTTGGGGACTGAAAAAAAAAAACCTTTTAGTGCAAGACAAAGTTCCTCACTGTCAACACGACATAGAGGTGACAAAATAAATGCATCAGCCAAAAGGAAGGAACACTGGGAAGAGAGCTGGGTCACCAGTTACACCCAGATTTCAGAGGAAGTAAAACAACCAAGAAGGAGCTGAAATTGTTGTCTGATCTCTTTCAAAGGGAAAATTGAAATGAGATGGAGATAGCAGTCAGCGCTGAGCTGCCTCTGCCAGCAAGGAAATGCAGACCCTGCTTTGTATCTGACTTCACAAACCCCACCAGCATCCCCTCTTTGGAAAACTTTTCCAATATTTAATACCTGTGTAGGAGTTCTACATCACAGAGAGTAGGACAAATTTACCATGAGCATTGTCAGGTCATTCTTTTGGCCAGCAACAACTCTCAGACACAAACTCCAACACTGAACCAATGTTTTCGTTGTTAAATGTACTCCTGAGTTTAGAACGCAAACCCAACATGTATAATTCAGGGGTAAACTCCACCAAAATATATTTTGTTCAAGCAGAGTTTGCCTGATTAAGATTAAGGTAAAGTGTACGTAAACACAAATTTTCTAAAAATCAACATCTCACCCTTTACAGAAACATCAGTGTTCACACATAAGCAGGAGGAAAGACAGGCAGGTAGCAGAAAGTGGAAGGGGTTAAATAAATAAGGAAATGCAGTGCATGAAGCTAAATTTGGAGGAATATATTTGTTTTAAACATTGGTTGAATAGGGCAGAGACAAAGCCATTGATATGCTGATCACTTAACAACACAGAGTAGAGACAATATAAAACTTTGCTCCTACATCTGATTCAAGGTATTGTTGAATAGCAGTTGTTGGAATTTATACAAATAACTATTCCTCTAGTCTATGTTTATAATATTTTATTAATCTTTCTACTATTACTATTATTATTAATAATACAGGAGTGCTGTTTTTGAAAGCTGCATTGTGTTCTTGCTGAAATCTGTGCTTTGAAGAATTTCCTTTCAAAATTGTAAAATATTTATGCGATAAATCATCAGATGATTTAAAATTAAATCATTCTGGTTGTATTTATGTTCATGAATCAAATGTGACTTTTCTCGCTTTACATAGGTCTGTGCTGTTTTCAACCTCAACCTTTGCAAGTGACATTTTCATTTAGAATCTTATCATTTCATAATTATTACCTTTCAGAACTCCTAGGGAGAGAACAAAAGCTTCCTCTTTGTATTTCCATTGTTATGTTTCTTTGAAGAACAAATTAAATTTCCATCCCAGACAAAACAAACTTTTAAAGTACAAAATAAATTGGAAATTACGTGAAAAAAATAACAAGCTGTGCAAGCTTAAAGCGGCCTCTGGTGAGAACAGGTATATTCTGGATAATTTATTACAGTGTTTTCTTTGTTTAACCAGTAGATCAAGCTCAGCCTAAGGAAACATGGCAAACATCTCACTGAAGGTGATCTGAGCTGCTCTAAACTGACACAGGGACTCTTGTGATCCTAATAAATGAGAAGGGATTGTTCATACCCCCAGAGTGACTATTCACCATCTTTCAGATTATTGTTACCTTTTAATTGTCCTCTGAGCTGTCCAAAGAGGAGAGGTCTGAACATTTCTCAGCTCCCTTGCAAAATGTGGAGCAACGCTCCATAAAATACCACATTTACACAGTTGTGACTAATAGTAATCCTTATTATCATCAGATCCTTTCAATTTCACTCCAGTGGGCAGATTATTTTCTTTTTTTTTTAGGTAAACCCCATGGCTCAGATTCATAGAAAAGGCACAACGATAAAATGGAGAAAACAAAATATTTACAAGCCTGGAAGACACTTTTGCTTTTTCAGGGAAATTT